ACTTATATACACATAATTTATATTCAGTACAAAAATTTATATATTCAATATAAACATTAGTTTAAAGAAATATTTATTCAGTCTGCGTTACTGTTTCCTTTTCCTTATACTTGCATAAAAATGAAGTTTTATAAAAACAAAGATTATTTTTACTTTAAAAAATAAAATAAAATATAATTTTGGAGTGTGTCAACTTTGCCTAATTCTCTCCTAAAAAATAAAAAATAAAAAAATTATGCTTTAAATTTATTTTAAGTAAGTACAAGTTATTAGTTAATTATCAACATTTTAATATTTTTTAATAAAAAAGGGGGGAAGAAAGCGAGAGAGAAGATTTTTAAATTAAAAATAATTGATAAAGTAATTAACAATTATTTTTAATTCATTAATTTTAGTTAAAAAATTCGATAAATTTTAAGTTGTTAATAAAGAAATTAACTCATTTTTCATCGCCTCTTTAAAAAATGATCGAATTTTTTAAAATTATTTACTTATTAATATAATAAAAGATTAAAAATTTTATTGTCTAGTTAAATAACTAAATAATGGCATAAAAATTTATTTTTTAATTATTCATTTTTTCAAATATTAATAGTTTTTCCACGTAATTTGATGATGTTATAAAAAATATATATATGTATTTTCCACACATTTCACGAATTTATTGTCATTTTCACGCATTATAAACTTAATCTACAATAAAATTTTCGCAAAATTAAATTAAATAAATATACGAAAATTGAATTTTCTTAACGATCTTTAAATGATCTTCCACGCCATTACGTCATTGTCCATCTCTTTGATCAAGAAACTCATAAAAGATTCTATTCATCTCCTGCAATATGATATCCAAATATTGACATTCAGCTGCTTTGTCTTCGGCACATATTACCATAACTGACTCTCAAATATATAGAATAGAAGAAGCTTAAATCCTGTAAGTTTAATAAATATTTTTATACCATTTAATTATATATATTTATATATATATTTAAATTAAAATATTGAAATTCTTTTCACTGTTACCTCCCTGGTTGTAATGAAAAAAAAAAAATTAAGATATTCAGTAGGAAAGGCAGAGACTATCCTAGTTGAATATTCACTAAAAGAATGCATTAAAATATTTTGCCTGCAGCATCCTACATACTACAAAGTTTATCTGAAGTTTGGAAGATAAGGCAAACAACGTTTGAATTTATGCAATCTTCTTTGTCTCCCAGATTCTCCGTAAGGCTCGTAACTCTATATTTAAAACGACTATAAAAGTTCCACACGTGTTTTTTTCTCAGCCATACTTTTTAATCAATTCTATTCTGCTTTATATTTTTACTGATAAGAATGTAGTTTTCTGAAATGGTTTCAGTAGTCATTACGGATTTTTGTAGCTCTTATGGATATATATATATATATATTTTTATTAATTTTGAAAAAAGGAATTACGTATCTGAACATATCCAAAAAATAATTTGTTTATCAATCTTCGGTTTAAATAAAAATGCCATTGGCATCTTATTTTTTTTTTTGCAATTTGTNATTTTAAAGATACTTTTATCTTAAGGAGTAGATTCTTATGATGGATTTTGATAATTTTAGTAACACGTTTCATCAATAAAACGTCGATAAAACTTGTTAGAAAGTTCATTCTCTTCGCTTGAATTATTAATAATCGTCTAGAAGACAGTAAAGATTAATTATTTAAGGAAGATTTAAACGAGAAAAAGAGAGGATGAGAATTTTAGGATATTTATGGCTGTGTTAGAGGATCTACGATAAACATAAACAGTATCCGAGCTTATTTTAAATTTATGAATTACTTGAGCTCTAGACAATTGTAGATAATTTTTTAGTCTATTTACGGCCCTACTAAGTCAAAGGGGAGAAGTAAAACGTTTTAAATTCTTCAGCGAATTTTCAAATGTTTCCTTTAGCTTTAATTCTTCTATCGCTTAAATTACGAAAAGGGTTAGTGACATTATTCGATCAGTCTTACTATCTTCTAGTCATTATCTAAATAATTAAAAACACATTTAATTATGTGTTTATGTATAAAAATACTACTTAAACACACCAATTTTCTTCGTTTAATTGCTAGAAGATGCCTCCGCCGAAGCGAGTTTGCTGTTTTTTTTTTTTTTTTTTTTTTTTTTAAAATTTTTTTTTTTTTTTTTTTTTTACATAAGAGTTGGGTATTCTGTGCACAAATTCAATCTGAGATTAAAGTTAATTAATCGTACAAGACACAGGCTATAAAAAAGTAAGCCCGTTGGAACCAATTATAGGTAAAAGTTAACAACTATTTTCCAAACTATGGTTGTTAACTGGTCGACAACTGGAAACACTAAACTGCATTAATCAAAATAGTATAAGGCAGAGACATTAAGAACAAGATACTTGGAGGGATTACCACCACAAGTTGATGACGCAATATCGTAAAAGAGTAGGTCCAGGAAAGAAATAAAAACAGCCAAGAATATTGCATGCGAGCGAGATTAGTACTAAACTAAAAAAAAAGGAAAAAAAAACATTAAGAGATAAAACGGAAACTTGAAATTGTCCACCATCTTGCATTCTCCCTGTTTTATTTTATTTATTTTTTATCTTTCTTTTACATTCAAATGATTAACTAACATTAAAAAATGTTTAAATGTAATTACATTCTTTCTATAAATTAATTAATTTTTACCTATTATTATCTATTATTATCTATATTATCTACCTATTATTATTAATTATAATTTAAATTTACACCATGTCTCTATTATCAATAATGATTTTTTAAACATGTATATAGGCCTATATATATATGTGTGTGTGTATTTAATTAAACTGTTGGCTACAGTTTAATGTAAGAATGTTATCGTGACGAAAGTCGTTAATTTTGTAAACATAAATTCAGTTTCTTTGCATTTTTTCCCCGTCTTCCATTTAAAATTCTGTTTAACAAGCATTAAAAACATTATATAAATAATATCATTTGTTAATTTTTCTTAATTTATGTGATTAGATAAATTAAAACTCGGGATTGCATTTTTCTTACAGTAGTAGCTTTAATTATATTTAATCTTGTTTGTTCAATTTTAAATTTATTGTTTCACTTATCAATTAAATATTACCTTATGAATTATTTAAAAACTTTTCTTAATTATTCTCCTATGGTTTAATAAACATAAGCTCTTTAATTGTATTAACGATGCTTCTCAACTAAAAATTAAGATCTTAGCTGGTAAGCATCATTAATACGGATTTAAGTAACTTAATTGGTGATAAAGGAGAAAATTTTGAATAATTAAACGTTATTATATATAACCACCGTAAATTTTGTACTAAATTTAGAATATTTTCTCTTAGGAATAATCTTGTCTTCTTTTGTATAATAGAAATATTAAGAAAAAATTACATGAGACTTTCTATCACGCGACTCCGCCCAATAGTCAGATGTAAATAAAGTAAATTAAGAGTTTTAATGCACTTTCCCCCCTCTTCTTGGTAATAAAGTCACGAATCTAGGTAACTGTAGAACACAGTCCAATATTGTTTATCCATTTAATTAAGCTTCCCCCCCAAAAAAAACAACTTTTAGAGACGAATAAAATGTCTTTATTTTCTCAGTTTAAAGTGTGATGACCTCAACAACTAAAAATAAAAATTCTCTCTAACAAATGACCCATTTTAATTATTATAATGGAACGATATTTATTCTATTTAGCGTACAGATGTGTATTGTTAAAATATATGCATTCTTTTACCATAATTTTAAGGAAATAAAATAAACATTAATGTAAATTTTTACAGTTATTTGAAATTTTTAATAATTTATGAAGTACATCGTGTTTTTAAAGTATATATTGGATAATTTATAAACTCTTAAATGTGCACATAAATATGAAAATATGCATTTTAGAATGATAATTTACGTTCCTGAATATCTTTTTTTCCGTTAAAATTATGATTAAAAGTTCTCTTTTGGCATAAAATAAATCCGAGTCTATAATTTTTTTAGAGTAGGATGCAGCAACTGGAGCGGTTTAAAGCTCTTTTTTTTATATTCTTTTGGATGGTAAATTCTGTAAATAATGAGTCTTCTAGATTGTTATACTCCTGTCTGTAAATCAGAATGATGTAAATACTTCACAAGCGTCGGTAATGTGGTAGAGGGTTTATTACTCTTTTATATTTGTTAAGAGAAACGTGTTAACATGACACGTAAGAAGTAAATTAATATCGAACATGTCGAGCGTGTTTTTCATGTTTTTAATACTTGACGATGTAGAATGAATAAGGGATTTTAGCATATTAGTAACGATGACATGATTTTGTTAATGTGAAAGTTTCCTAATTGGGATTCGCCTTGTAGCTTAGTTTTTCTACATATTTTTTCTATAAAACGGCCATCTCTTGCAACGTTATCACTTTAAAAACTCCTCACACGAAAGAAAAATCTTGTAAGAATTCGTATAATTATTTATTTAAAACTAATGAAGGCTTGGAATAAAACAGTGGCTAAATAATTATTTTTAGTGGAATTCTGATTAATTACGGGCCTCCAATCGACACTATCTCGGTTCAGATCGGTTTAATATGCAGTAACGAAACTCTTCTTAAATATCCACTTAGAAATGCCCGTATAAGAGTGGTGGAAGGAGTCAAAGAGTGACGAGTAAAGCGCTTTTCCTTTTATTTTTTGCATGTCGAACGATAATTATTTGAAGAAGAAGAAGGCGGAGAATAGTTATTTAGCGAGCGAAATGAATTTAGATAAAAATTAAGCGCGATAGAGGAATTCTTAAAGGAGATAAACTCCTTAACGAAGGGTCGGTGGCGATGCCAAGTTAAGCATCTGAAGCAATTACCATCATTCAGCATTATCTGATTCCTTTCAGAAAACAAACGGACGATGTGCGTAGCGAAGACTGCAGTGGCTCTACTGCGCAATGAGGTTGTGACGAAAGGCATTTCGCCGACCTCAGACTAGTCCAGTCAGTTGATGGCTTGCAGTCGAGATGGAAGCAGTAAAGGCATGCCTGATAGCATCCCTCTTAGGAGCGTATATCATAAATGTTAAACCCGACGATGCGGACTCGGTGGACTTAGACGAAACGGAAGTTAAGGAATTACTCAATTTTGTCGTTTCCGAAATACAAAAATTGAAATTCGAACATCGCGAGATTGATGATTGCCTGGGATTGGAGATCGCTAGCATGTTGAGTGGAAGGAAACAGGTACGTCGAACGGCGCGATTATTTATCGTTTCCATTTAGTCTACCAATAACTTTCTAACGTTTCTTGCTCAGATGGGAAAGGGTACGAAATACACTTTGACGCTGAAAGTGCAACCAACAAGAAAAGACAGCGAACATTGCGCCCAACGTAACGTTACGGCACAAAGTTTAAACGTAAGTTTAAAAAAATCGGAATATTGCCTTTTAGTCGTACGTACAGTACGTATAGAAATAGTATGGATATAATAAAATAAGTAGTAGGAAATTTATTTCTTTTTTTTGCAATCTGTAAGTTTCGTCTCCGTTCAAAATAATAATTCACTAAAGTGAAGGAATGTGTAATTCTTTTCAAAGAATTTTTCTTTTCTAAACTTTTGTCTTGACAGCTTTTGTTTCTCCGGAAGATTTTATTTGAGTCTAGTTTCTTTTACTTGTTTTCAATTCCTAACACCTCTTTTTTCTCAATCCTTTTTATTTCCAACTTCTTTCCCATTCGGCGAGAAGATATTCCTATACACAGTATCAATGATTCATCAATCACTCCTATTTTTTTATATGTTTTTTGTTTTTTTGGTCGGTTGAATCAAACTAAATTTTTTTTATTTTCTCTTTTATCTTTCCGCCAAGTTTTATCTCAAGATTTCTTTAACCTTTCTTTACTTCTAAATCAAAAATCAAACTTTATCAATACACCTTTCAATTGTTAACGCATCTGGATAATAAGAATAAAAATTCGAAATTTTTTACAAAGTTTATTAACTCTATAATATTTAANTCTTCAACCTAGACCTGAGTAGGTTCTACTCCTAATAATAATAATAATACAAAAAAAAAAACTGAATATTAAACGTATTTACATCGATGTGAAACTAACTCCAGCAATAAAATTTAAGTATAATTAACTTCAATTCTTACATAAAATAATTGCTGCAATATATTATTTACAGCATTAGTAATTGCTAATCCGGAGAATAAAGAGCGCATCAGAGAAATGATCTTTATCATGCAATCTCTTATTCCATATTCCATCAATTTGTTAGTCAAATATAAAAATCCTATCATCATCATCGGCAATAAAAAAAAGGAGAAAAAATCATTTGTCTCACTTATCATTCTCCAATCTTTAATGGCGTGCTCGTCTTTAATTAGATTTAATATTAATAAAAGTCATTAAAATGATAATTTTTAGAGGTTTCTCCTTTGAGATAATACCACTGTTATCCAAGGTATTAAGAGATTGTTTTAATTTATTTTTTAAACTCTTCTGACGTAAATTAAGCAAAATGATTTATACTCTTCGTCTCTATACGTGTAATAGTTCAATAAAATAACCACGCCCGAATTCGCATTAAACATTGCCTTGACAAATTACTGCTATTGTGTTCGACTTGACGTATGACAATCTCAACATTATCATCACCTGTAATTAAGATAGGCTGCTATATATAGAATCTCTCAGTTAAGAAAAAATCCTTTTACTTCAAGTAATTATCAGGAAATTTTACAAAATGCTCGGTGAAGATCAACAGAATTTTAGTAAACACCGACATTACGCTCCTACTTTTTGGGTTGCAATTTGAAAAAATTGTAGGCTTATAAATTCCCACTGTTGTCCGCCCGTCTGCTGTCTGGCTGTATATTTGTCTGGCCGTCTATCTGTCCTTACTTAATCTCGAGTATGGTATGAGATAGATGCAAGCGCAGAATAGATATGGAAAGCGTTGGGACAGGAGGCCCTAATTAACTATATAAAAATTTCTGATGCAAACTGGAAGTCATGTTATTTTAATTCAAAAATTTTCCCCTAAAAGGTGTTAGTTAGATGACCGTCACGACTCTATTGGTAAAGGAAAAGTATGATATACAGGGGCAAGCCACTACTAATTTGAGGTGGAGAGCATATATTTTAAATGAAATAAATTAAAAATACGATTAAAAATTGCAGCCCGGCATTGTGACGATGTCACGATAATTTTTAATATTTATTTTACTATAAAAAGTAAATAACTTTCTGAAAATCGAGAAACAAACAGGATTTAATATGAATAAAATAAGAAATGTTTCTATTTAGAATTTATTTATTTATTTTTTTAATTTTACGTTTGAGTAAAATATGAAATGATATTTGTAAACAAAACATATCTTAAGGGGAAAAAAAAGAAATTTGAAAAAATAGCGGTTAAACAATCATAAAATAATATTTTTCCTATTTGGAAGAATACATTTTTGTTGATTTTGTATTTTTTTCACGAATGTGCCTGATATCTTATGCACTCTATTGATTTAATCAATATTTTCGAGGAATAGGAATTTTGGATTTTTCATTTTAAGTCTGAAATACAAACATGACATCAATCATAAAAAGAAGTTTCCTTGTTTTTCTTTGTCTATATATAGACAAAGTGGAATAAAACTAGAAAGAGGAAATATTTAGGATCTAAAAATTGAAAGCAACAGATCAATTGATGCGAAGAAATCCTAAAAAGAATAGATCACTTTGCATCCAATTTTATCATAATGTACAAGTTTGAATCTCTTTAAAATGTATGTTTCTCTCTCCTATTTTTATTTAAAGAAATAACTGAAATAAAAAAAAAGAACAAACAAAATAGGATTAGCTTTCAATAAGAAAACTGTAGATAATAATTGCATGAATTTTATTTTTATAAATAAATTTTTCCATTTTCTGACTTATAATACAGTATCAGAAAATTACATTTTTTTTATGTCGAATTATAAAAGAAACTGAACCAGAATTATAAAACTTAATATATATTTATTTAGAGAATTTAAATTAAATAAAAAATACCGAAAATGAAATTTGAAACACAAAGATTTTTTACAATTTACTGACGATAACAGCTTTGAAAAATAACTAATCAACTTTTATAAGCCAGAGATTTTGAAGATGAAACTGTACGAATAAAAAATAAATTTTACAGCCATTTTTTAAATAGAAAAATAAAGATTTTTTATAAAGAAATTTCGGAATATGGAGACATCAAATAATATTAAAATTATCTTGTTAAAAATTAATTTCCCATTTTTCCTGTTAACGTACGATGTTGTACGTGATTTGGACGTTTGACTGATAAGCTTTTCAGAACGTACCATTTATTTCTAAGGGATAAAAATATCTAGCAGATGAAATATTTCTTCGTCTTTGGTCGATCGTTACTTCACAGAGTATAGAAGAATAAGATCGATGTTGAATGTCTGTCCAGAAGCACAAACGATGATGTGGGATGACTCTGCAGTATTGCCATCAATGGATACAGAAAATAGAAAGGACTCTTGTATATTATATCAAAAGATAAATGGTCTCAGATAGAATATTACTTCACAAAGAACATCTCATATACATGTTGACAGCTCCACATTTGGAATTTTATTCACAAATATGTTTCTCCAATGTCTTCTCCTATGCTATACAAGAAAAATGATATGATATATCGATTAATGATGCTCTAAAATATAAATTTTTTATTTAATTTATTAATTCCTTTCTTTATTAAAAAGGAAACTTAAATTTGTTATAATTTTGTAGATATTTTTGTTATTTTTAAAGTAAAAGGGTTGAGAATGAAACCCACATTTGATTATTTTCAATTTGGTACATGTTTGATACAAAAAAGATAGTGTAAAATGAAGAAAACTGACATTTAAAAATGAAAAATTAAATTGCGAAAATAAAAAAAAGCATTATTAAAATACTCCCAATAACTTATTTATTATAAGAAAAATTTAATTTAATTCAAAAGTTATCAACTTCGATTTTAATTTTGAAAACATTCAATTTTGATTTCAATTTTTTTATTATTTAAACTAATTTATCTTTATTTTTCTGTATTAAATTTTTGAAGTATTTAATTCAAAGTTTCGAGACACACAAACACAAAAAAAAAACAAGTTTTCTTTTTATATAAAATCATGAAAAATTAATGAGTTGTTATACGGATGTTTCCAGCTGTTTTAATCCATTATTCAATATTAAAACTCTATAATATTTTAATAAATATTTAATTTTATATAATATGATGTAGTCCCCTTTTACTTATATACACATAATTTATATTCAGTACAAAAATTTATATATTCAATATAAACATTAGTTTAAAGAAATATTTATTCAGTCTGCGTTACTGTTTCCTTTTCCTTATACTTGCATAAAAATGAAGTTTTATAAAAACAAAGATTATTTTTACTTTAAAAAATAAAATAAAATATAATTTTGGAGTGTGTCAACTTTGCCTAATTCTCTCCTAAAAAATAAAAAATAAAAAAATTATGCTTTAAATTTATTTTAAGTAAGTACAAGTTATTAGTTAATTATCAACATTTTAATATTTTTTAATAAAAAAGGGGGGAAGAAAGCGAGAGAGAAGATTTTTAAATTAAAAATAATTGATAAAGTAATTAACAATTATTTTTAATTCATTAATTTTAGTTAAAAAATTCGATAAATTTTAAGTTGTTAATAAAGAAATTAACTCATTTTTCATCGCCTCTTTAAAAAATGATCGAATTTTTTAAAATTATTTACTTATTAATATAATAAAAGATTAAAAATTTTATTGTCTAGTTAAATAACTAAATAATGGCATAAAAATTTATTTTTTAATTATTCATTTTTTCAAATATTAATAGTTTTTCCACGTAATTTGATGATGTTATAAAAAATATATATATGTATTTTCCACACATTTCACGAATTTATTGTCATTTTCACGCATTATAAACTTAATCTACAATAAAATTTTCGCAAAATTAAATTAAATAAATATACGAAAATTGAATTTTCTTAACGATCTTTAAATGATCTTCCACGCCATTACGTCATTGTCCATCTCTTTGATCAAGAAACTCATAAAAGATTCTATTCATCTCCTGCAATATGATATCCAAATATTGACATTCAGCTGCTTTGTCTTCGGCACATATTACCATAACTGACTCTCAAATATATAGAATAGAAGAAGCTTAAATCCTGTAAGTTTAATAAATATTTTTATACCATTTAATTATATATATATATATGTTTAAATTAAAATATTGAAATTCTTTTCACTGTTACCTCCCTGGTTGTAATGAAAAAAAAAAAATTAAGATATTCAGTAGGAAAGGCAGAGACTATCCTAGTTGAATATTCACTAAAAGAATGCATTAAAATATTTTGCCTGCAGCATCCTACATACTACAAAGTTTATCTGAAGTTTGGAAGATAAGGCAAACAACGTTTGAATTTATGCAATCTTCTTTGTCTCCCAGATTCTCCGTAAGGCTCGTAACTCTATATTTAAAACGACTATAAAAGTTCCACACGTGTTTTTTTCTCAGCCATACTTTTTAATCAATTCTATTCTGCTTTATATTTTTACTGATAAGAATGTAGTTTTCTGAAATGGTTTCAGTAGTCATTACGGATTTTTGTAGCTCTTATGGATATATATATATATATATTTTTATTAATTTTGAAAAAAGGAATTACGTATCTGAACATATCCAAAAAATAATTTGTTTATCAATCTTCGGTTTAAATAAAAATGCCATTGGCATCTTATTTTTTTTTTTGCAATTTGTATAATGTTTCACTTCTGATATTAATCAGTTGAAAGAGACTTGGTTCTGTTTATAGTCAGATAATTTATCAATGAAATTTGCTGATTTATAATTTTTAAATTTATAAACATATTTTTCCTTTCATTCTGTAGTTTTCCAAATATGCACTTCTTCAGCTTTATATGATAATTAATTTAATTATTATGACAAAGAATAATATTTTGATTATTATAATATACATCATATGATGATCTCTTCTTTCTTTGAGTGCTTCTTATTTTATTTATAAAACTAGAGCTGTAAGGAAGTTCATATTATACTTATATAATTATTTTTTGATTATATAAGATACATATTATCAATTATACAAATTGAGTTAAATTTGAAGACTTGAATCCATTTTTATGAATTAGATTAATGGAATCAGCAAATTGTTTTCCTGATTTCTGTTATCAATAAAGATGATATATGCCATTTTTACAAATTTAGTAGATTAATGGAATTTTAAATATTTACTTGTTTTTTTTCTTCCCCTCAATTGCAGGAACCATCACATCGGATAACAAAGCTATCATCAGGCAAATCCATTGAACCAAATTTAGAAGGCAAGCAAGATGCTGTAACAGAAAATCAAAAACATGAAATTAATGGTCTCACAAGATCTAGTTAGTGTTAAGTTAATTTAAATAAATGGTAATATTTTTTTTTTGTTTGTTTTATAATTTATGACATATATTTTCTTCTACTTTATTAGATCTTTTGAATGCAAAACCTCTTCGGAAATTAAATGTTCAAGAAAGCTGTAACCGGGAATTATCTAGATCTGTGGAAAATTCTGGTAATGCACATACAGATAACTCTGGTATTAGCATCACTGGTCTTCAACATCGAATTCTTCCTGATGCACCCAAATTAATTGGTGGAAATGGAAAACATATTTCAGATTCTCAGAATCATCATCAACTTTCTCGACAACAGTCACCAAATTTTCCACACAATGAACCTCCTCCACCTCCACCTCCACCTCGAGGGATACAGGGTCCTCCAACTCCACCTTTAACTCAGACTCCTTATGGTGGTTTAGTTGGAAATCATGTTCAACATTTTCTAAAACGGATATCTCCTGTGCCACATGCTTCAAGACAGCAAACTGTTGGGTCTTCCTCTTCAACACCACAGCGAGGAACGAGTCCAGTTGCATTAGGTTGGGCTACTGCTGTGGTATCAAATGCCATTCAAGCAAAACAGCAATTAGCTCATCAACTTCAAAATTTAAATATTTACTCTAGTAGTACATCATCATCACGAACTGAACCACCACCACCATATCCATCTAGTTCTTCATTATATTCTTCTTCTCCTCCATCATATGCATCATCTAGCTCAGGAAGACAGAGTCCTACACCAACAATCAGTAGTAGTGAATATTCAGTGCCGCCTGTTTTACAGCATAAGAAAACACCACCACCGTCTGAAAATTCTATACAAACACAACATTCTTATAACTTTCAAGCCACTTCTGCACATGTATCAGTTTCTGCAGCAACTGTTTTGACTACAGCCATTCCTCGTACTACTTCATTACAAGCATGGAGTGTACGTCAAGCAAAATCACAACCTCCAGTTATTATGCAATCTGTGAAAAGCACCCAAGTGCAAAAACCAGTTCTTCAAACAGCTATAGCTCCTACTGCTCCAGCTGTAACCACTGCATCACATGCAGTATCATATATTCAACAAACAAATCAACTACCTGCTTGTTTAACTCTTGCTCAAATGAATCATGCCACACCTTTTTCTTCAGTACAAAGTGTCCCAACATATTCTCAAAATTTACAGGCACCCATTAATAGTTCATCAAATTCTCAAATAACTTCTACTTCCTCTCCTGCAGATGTCTATCATACATTGGCAACTGGACAAGTAACAAATTCTACATTTTATACTTCAAATGCTCGCAGTCATTTAACAACAACTGCCATTCTAACTGCTAGTCAGCAGACACAAACTTCATCATCATATATGATACCATATTCATCAAACATAAATTTATTTACCAATTCTAACCAAATGCCCCCTCCACCTTATACGTCTTCAATTCAGTCAAGTGGAATAGCAAATCTTCCACCTTCTTATTCAGCTATTGTTAAAAATACTGGTAATTCATGTGGAGAATGTGTAACTGTAAATGCTAATTTAACAACCATAGCACCTCATTTGCCAAACAAACAAAAGAAGAAAGTGAAACAAGATGGACCATTAGGTATAGTATCTGTGCATAATCAACTGGCATCTACTGTACCAACAACAGATCCTCCAAGCTATGAAACCAGCATTGCTGCATTAGCTGCACAAAAAGCAGCTTCTTCTGCACTTAATAACAATTTACCTCCATCTTTTACAAATTCTGGAAATCCTGTTTCAGTTAATATATCTATTTCTGCACCATTAATTAGTAGTAAAACATCGAATCATCCTACAACATGTAATTTAGTAGATACTGTAGAAAGCATATGTATTTCACAAGTTTCAGCTCTTTCAGATGCAAATAATATGAGAGTAAATCTTAACATGCAAGGTGAATCTATGCCTTTTTCTTCACATTCTTCTTTGCAAAGAAAGCCATCACCAGTTTCCATGGATACAGCAAGTTCAGCATCAAGATCAGACTCTCCAGTTTCACATGGTCTAAGTCAGTCTCCTGTTTCATTTATGTCTACCACATCTACTTCATCACCATCAACACAATCAGACACAACACAAGATAGTAGGAAAAATCCTTCATCACCATCTTATAAACTTTCTCANAAAGATCAAATTAATTAATTTCTGCTTCGCTTCTTTCATATACATAAACATGTGTATGTGTATGTATTAAATATATATTTTCGTGAAGTTTTCTTCGTTTTATTTTTTAGAAAATTAAAATAAAAAAATATAAAATAATCGCTTATATAACAGAAGCTAAGTATTAAATTAAAAATTGATAAACGGAAGAAGGGGAGGAATTTAATCTTAAGGAAGGATGTCTACAGTTATAATTGAGTAAACTTTGAAAAGTTGATTTTAAAAATTTATTAAACTCATAAAAAGTCGAAAATTTCTACACAAAATTTGATTTCAATCGATTTAATAACCATTTGTAGATCCATAATTTCTAGATTCGCTGTTGTCGGAAAAATTACACCATTAAAATGAAATTTTAACAAAGTTTTGTGAAAATAATGTGGAAAAATCTTTAAAATTATCGGAGACTTTCAATTCGTTTAAGTTAATTTATAAAATTACAAAACTCGGATAATTTTGTATATCTGTAAGACGTAATCTCTTTTATCTTCTTTATACTTTTAAATATTTCTGAATCGCTGATTAGTTCTTGAAGCGAAAAACAAATTGTTTAAATTGTCTTTCGGATAGTAAAGCATTTCTATCGATCTAATAAAGTAAATTATATGTAGTAATGTCACCTCCATGCTCCAAGAAATCCGTCAGTGGAAACATTATCCAAGATTTAGCAACTCTATTAAATTTTAAATGAAGGAATATGTTATCTCGCAGTTAATTAAGCTATTTTTTTTATCCTTTCTTTCCACGAATCTTTCTTTTCTATTCTTTTCTTTAATTATTATTATTTTTTTTATAAATTAAACAAAAAAACTAGTCATGTTTGTTAATTTTTCCTTAAATTTTGCTTTAATGCTATTTTAAAAATAATTTTATTCAAGATTAAATTACAGGAAATGAACTTTTTCGCATGTTATCTTCCTTATCTTATCACACAGCTTTTATCTTAATAGCCGGTCTAAATTCTAACCAAAGCTTTTTATAGCTTTGTTAAAATTTCTAATCATTAAATCGTTTAATGTACACATTTTACAGTACTAAAATGTTATTTTTTATTATTTAATAAAGCCCGAAATTTGCGAAGCAGACGTGCTGGAAACTAACGATGGTCATTCCAACCAAAGAACATTGATGCGTTCGACATGTTTACAAGTGGAAGAACTTCAGAATTAAAGCAAAAAAAGAAGAAGGAAAAAAACAAAAAAATTACGTTATTATGTATTCATCTATGTACTTTACTGTATCTGTACGAGTGGAATTATACGAGAAAAAAAAACGAAGAGAAGTAAAGAAAAGCTTCTGTAAGGAAGAAGAAATGGCTTTCAACATATCTTATAAAACTTGTTTGTTGGGAAGAATATCAAGATTTTAATTCGACTTTTTTAGTATTTTGCAATCGATTATAATAAATTTAAAAAGATAAAAAAATGGAAGAAATATGGTAGTATCATAAGTAAGTATTGTATACGCTGTTTTAATTGGATTTATACCTTTAGAGTAGATATTAATTAGTATTGTGATTAATAGGACAAGCCTCATGTAGGCAGTGTCAATGGTGAATAACGTTTTGTATAGTATATCGATTAAACGTCATTCCCTTAATTACAGAAGTTGATGTTTTATCTGAAGTGTTTAGTCAATACAACAACAATAAAATGGGTAGTACTTAATTCACACCTTATTATAATACGCAAGATGATTAGAACCCGTACTTCTCACATTTTATTTTTGTAATGAATTCCCTCTCCGTTTGCTTAAAATGTAATTAATTTATTCACTAAATATAACAAATAAAATTGTTATTAATTACAGTATACTGAAAGTAGTTTATTGCATCAATTGTTTTCTGTATCTTCTTCAAATTTTTACTATACATTAATAATAAAAGTATTTTTCACACTTGAAAAATTTATTTTTTAACGACAATAAAGCTTTTTTTTTAAAATTATAATTAATATATTTGGATGCAAAATATTAACCTTTAGTATGCTTTATATCATTAAAAAAATTCCCCAAGTTTCATTTATTATTGCTGATCGAAATTTTATGATAATGAAAGTTTAGGATTGAATTTTTACATTTTTAAAATTCAATTTATATATTTATTTACTTAGTCGTTAACATATGTTAAGGATATTCTGGAAAAATAATTTTTATCTTTGAATGTATTAGCGACATATACTTTAATCTAACTTTTAAATATAAACTGATGCTGTAAATTTTATTTGGACAGAAGAAAATTTGATTAATTTACTTGGTCTTCCTATCTAAATTGGATTTAGAATGTTTTTCTTCTTCTACTTTTTGTTCTTTTTTTCCCTCAAGTCGATTTATTCTTTTTGACTCAAACCGAATCAAACTTTGTGCAATATTATATTTTGGCCATTGAACCGTTTCTTTGTGTTCAATAATATTTTTTTCTTAGAGTTTCTTTTCGATTTTTACGTGCTTTCTATCATTCATGGTTAGAAAATCGACAGAAAGTTTTTCAAAATATTTTTCATACAGGAATTTTTGTTTAAAAAAAGACTTAACAAATTTAAATTTAAAATTTTTAAAATATATATATATTAAAGTAATTGTTAAATATTCAATGAATATATTACAAAATCCGAATAAGGATATGTTATTTTTATATTTTCAAATATTCATTACACAAAATAAATGATAAATTTCATGTTTAAAACTAAACGTAGGATACGTCCTGATAATATTAGATATTTTTATTCTAAAATATTCTTGTTTTAAATTTTAAAAAAATGTTAGATAAAAGCGTTTAAGCATGGAAGATTGATTAACTACGTTTTAAAAGTGAAATATAGATTTTTTTACCCTAAAAAAATTAACAGAAAAATTAATCTCCTTCAAAAAATATAGGCTATATATTTTTTTCCTTTCGGCAAAACGATGCTTCAATCTAAAAACTATTTTTAAAAAAATTAAAGCCTTACCAGAGGTCAAACGAGTGTTATCAAGATAGAAGACAAATTGAATATCCGATCCGCCATGTTTTAATTTCCTTCAGTCATTTCACATTGAAATGCCCAAGGATGAGTTGTGAAAGGAAATTTATGTAAATAGGAAAGTTATGGATACAATACGTTCACAGATTTTTTTTACTTGATAAATAAAGAATAGGAAACAAATCTGAGAAGTGATGCGGCAACTCTTCACATGATATTACTCGAGGAGTGATCAAAGGCGACTGCAGATAAACAACGATTTATCGATTCTAAGACCGATAAATCAAGCCAAGATATCAAACAAACCCTTTATAAGATTTTTATTAATTTTTTTCACCATTTTAAAAAAGTTGAACACAACTAAAAATTAATTTTTTCTATTGTTAAAGTGGTAGCGGAGAATAAATATCTCTGTTACATTTAATTCTCATCGCGTTAAAATAAAAAGAATTCTATCAGCTAACAAATTTATATTCGAATTTGATTTAAAGACTCATTTAAATTGTAATTTTTGTAGCAATCATCTAGTTAAAAGTCGATTTTGCATTGGAAACCTTATTCATTGAACATCAAATGTATGGTCAAATCGGCACTTAACAAGCCAATTTAATATTATAAAAAATATTAAGCATTTGTTCTTCTTATCGACCTTACAGTGTTCGATTCACGAAAAAATGTGCGATTACCAAGTCAGTCAGAGCATCGTCTCTATAATGTTAGATCTTAACGCTTCCCAATGGAACTGCAGCCCCTGTGATAACCGGCTTCACTGCACGTTAAGGCGGTATTGCAGGTAAGGTTATCTTTGAGAGGAACTATGACTCTCGGGAGGTCTCAGTCCACGTGATGCTTATTACATTAGTTTCTACGCTTTATCTCTCTTCTTAAGTGAACATCGTTTCTACTTACGTATTTTCAGTTAATTTGCATTAAAAGCGGTTGAATATCGATTGCTTTGTTAAAGATTTTAAGAAAATTCCTTTATCTATTTGCATTAATGTGCCGACAATTCACGAGGGGAACGTTTATATATTTTTTTATCTTTGTAAATGCGTGGTGAATAATTAATAAATTTAAAGTTTATTTTATATTTCGGATTTCAATTTTACTACGTAAAATTAAAGCTTTTCGTGATAGAAAAGGTTTTAAAGTGTTTTATATTCTAAATCACAACCCACGCGTCAGATTTGTGTTTTTAAGAGAAACGATCTTAACAAAATCGTTAAAGTATTTACAAGTCGAAAGATCATTCGTGTTAAAGGTGATGTCGGTAAACGATGTTACAAGTCGTAAAACGACCATAACATCTTAGAAATTTCTTAATGAGTGTTAACCCAACCAATAAAGGATGTAATAGGCGCATTTACATGACAGAGACTTAAATGCCGACTTTTTCTATATTAAATTTATGGTTTGACAAAACTGTTTGAATGGTGTATTTTTATTGGCGTTAGTATGAAAGGCACCGGACGGGTGTCAAGTAAGTGAGAGCGATAAGAGTTGGATAACTGAAGGAGTAAATGTTTGGTCTTCGGGCTACAGACAATAAACCAGCTTCATCCCGTACAAAGTGGAATAGGCAGGTGATATGTCAAAAGAGGAATGGTTTAGGGGCAATGACATATCTTATATAAAGTTCTTTCTCCGCCCAAATCGCTCCAAACCAGTCGAATTGGAAATTCTTTTCTCATTGTTTCAAAACCAGTCCACGAAAAGTAATCTTTAAATTGATTTTTGTTAGACATATTTTACTTGCCATTAAAGCCCATCCGAGTACGAAAAAAAGCACATAAAAACGATCCTAAGTCGTCGGGTGAATAAAAAAAAAGGTAATAAAGCTTGAACTGGATTAAAAACTAGTTTTGTAAAATTTGGGGTGGAAGTTAATAATGCATGAATTTTAATAGCTCTGTAAGAAACCGCGGTTTAAGATAAGCGAGAACGGAAAAAAATTGCTAAAAATATTAAATAAAAATATTTTTGATTTTTGTAACAACACATAGTAACTTATCCTAATTG